ATTTATATATGTATATGTGTGTGTGTGTGTGTGTGTGTGTGTGTGTGTGTGTGTGTGTGTGTGTGTGTGTGTGTGTGTGTGTGTGTGTTTGTGTGTATGTGTGTGTGTGTGTTTATACATACATACATACATACATATGTATATACATACATAAGTACATGCATATATACTTACGTACATATATATATATATATATATATATATATATATATATATATATATATATATATATATACGTACATATATATATATATATATATATATATATATATATATATATATATATATATATATACATATATATATATATATATATATATATATATATATATATATATATATATATATATATATATATATACATATATATTATATATATATATATATATATATATATATATATATATATATATATATATATATATATATATATATATATATATGTACGTATATATATATATATATATATATATATATATATATATATATATATATATATATATATATATATATATATATATATATATATATATATATATATACATTGAGACAATTTCTGTGGGTAGAGATGAACAAGTCGGGCCAACTCTGGCTTCACAACCAAACATAGCAGAGTATGGAGAGCACTTTATCCCTGAATGGCGAGCAGCATTTTTCTGACACTGAACAAACTTCATGCCAACTGACCAGTCTTGTGAATGATTGCCTGCAAACCAGGTAAGTAACATATCCTTAATGTCACCATTCGCACGTTCCACAGACCCCTGACTTTGTGGGTGACGGGGCTTCCCATGAACCATGGTGAGACTTGGCCGCATTTCTTTTAGCTTAGTAATCACCCTAGATGTGAACTCCGAGCCCTCATCACTCTGAAGACCAGCAGGGGCACTCATGAGAAGGAAGATATCTACAAGCTGGAAGGCAACTTCTGTAGCACGTTTGGTTTGAAGAGGACGAAGAATGTAGAATTTGGTGAGATGGTCTTGGTATACCATGATCCATTTAGAGTGTGGCATTGATTGCATGTCAATCAAATCAACCTGGTCCTTAGATGCAAAGTCCTTGCTGAGGATAGGACGCACCACAACGCCGTTGGTCATTGGTCTTTTCCTTTTCTTCTGACATTCCTCAGACAGCGATCTGAAGAGCTCCAAGGCCTTTGTTGTGATGTTGGCATATTTTCGTTGTAACTCCTTAATCATGCGGTCACGCCCACCATGTTCTGTTGCAATATGAGCGCGTTTGATGACGTCAAACGTCTCCAGAATAGTTACACGATACAGGGGTGGCTCATCTGCATTTGTCCGTTTTTTTTTTTATAAGATTTTCCACGTCACCACATTGGAGGACTTCATATCTGAAAAGAAATAGAATGCGTTAATTCAGTAAAACCATAATTATCACTACTATTTTAGAGCAAATATTATTCTTATTTGCCCCTTAAATGTCAGTGGCTAGGGTTTGGGGCAGCAGTTACTAGAAAATACGACCCATAGATTGATCATATCATATGACATGCTTACAAAACATACCTGCCAGAGAATAACACTAACGTCCGACTTTCTGACATTACGGATAAAAACACCCTATTGTCAGATAAAGTTGGTTTTAACCCTTATGTGCCCAGCTTATGTATCTTGATAATACGGCAGCATAATATAAAAGCAAGGATATATTGTAGCTTCTGTCACCCCAGGTCACGGCTACGTCACAGCAGCCGGACCTTGGGGTGACGGAAGGGATTTACACCAAATAAACAAAATAACTTACTTGGACAGAAGATAATAGTCACTTCTACTCTTCATATGACTAATGCTGATGAAGATTTAATGCTGTCTATCCTTCTATAGTCCTTAGCCTTCGGGATAAGATATTCCTTGCTTTCTTCATAACATCTGAACAGCTCACTCTTGAATCTCTCTTCACTACTCTCAGAAGCCATCTTGGGCTTTCAACAAGTCACACGAGAAGGATAAAAACTCCAGCTCTGCTCTACGCTGGCCCGTACCCCTTAATCCTTAATCACTGGTGCAAACAAGAGGCATGAACAACTCAGTATAGCAATTCACTGGTATGAACTGCTCGCTTTCATTTGCACTCGTAGAACCTATACACCCAAACCTCAGTGCGAGAATTAAAGGGAGCTTTAAAAGTAATTCACAACACAGGTATCAACAGCTCACTTTCAGTTTCCCTCGTAGAACTTATGCACTCAGCCAACAATTCGGGAATTCAGAGGTGATTTGAAAGTAACAAGTAAATTAATTGCTCACTTTCAGTTGCACTTAAAATTATGTAATAACCCAAACTAGGTAGGGATGCAATATCAATATAAAGCAACTCGTGGGCATGAATAAAAAAAAAATCCTTTATCAAAATATATTACTGAAGCCATCTAGTAAGATAGTGTAAAAGTAAAGATAGTATTAAGGGATTTCGTGAATTTCCTGGATATTTCAGTAAATTCACGAAACATTGTGAAACATTGATTTCATGCATTTACTGAAAATTTTAGGGATTTCGTGAAATCCCTGATTTACTGTTACACACACACACACACACACACACACACACACACACACACACACACACACACACACACACACACACACACGCACACACACACACACACACACACACACACACACACACACACACACACACACACACACACACACACACACACACACACACACACACACACACACACACACATATATATATATATGTGTGTGTGTGTGTGTGTGTGTGTGTGTGTGTGTGTGTGTGTGTGTGTGTGCGTGCGCGCGCGCTTGTGTGCGTTTGTATATATATACATCTTTTTCTTTCCTTCTCCCTCTACCTTTCCCTGCCCTGCTCTGCCTCTCCCTCACTCCGGTAAGCAATCTGCGACTATTCGTATTTTTTTCTTTTCTTCATTTTTTTTACCGAAGACATCGCTGATGATTATCATTATTTTTGGCCTTGAAAATGAAATATCGATATTACACATTTAACGTAATACTCTAGAGTTTTTTTTATAACTTTTTGCAACACAGCAACAATAGCCAAAAAAAAAAAACATATGCATATCATGTTAAGAAACCTTTTCCTATTAATTGGATTACTCCGATTGGAGTAAGGCCTTTTCACTTGATGCGGTTATTAACTGATAGTTTAATTTAACTATGAGCAGTAACGTTTTATTTTTTAAAAATAAAATGAAACTTAAATTTCATGGATTATTTAATTCTGTGTTATTAGGTATGTTATCAATGTAAGTTTAGTTAATAGATTTCAGCTAAAATGTCGAAACACATATTTGGTAATAATGAAGCAAGCAGATTGTGATTATTTAACAGCTATGCAGAGCTAATTCTAAGTACTGAATTATATCACGACCCACCGACTGGGAATAAATGTTCTAAGTGATAAAAGCAAGAATGACAAAACAATCTGTATTTTGTATTTATTTCCGACAAACTGTCAGAAATAAATGCAATATGCAGGATACGCTTTATTGAAAGATGAGACATCAGTTTGGAAATGCAAGAGAATCTCGAATCTGTTGTGTCATTTCCAACAAACTTCTTTTGTTACAGTGTTTCTTCTCTGCTATTTTCTCAACACGCCAAAGTCCTTAGTCATGTGCATTCGTATATCAGATATATATACAAAAAAAAACCTGTATATTTATCATTCTTGTGTTTTTTGATGAATAGTAAAAGAGGAAAACTGAATATGGGAAATCTTTAATGTTCAGATATACTTCATCTTATAAAGTAGCGAACATAAGAGAAATCATATATTAATATCATGATAACATAAAACACGCTTTATTCCAAGGAGTGTACATGGAATATCGGTTAATACTGGTCATCACCCACAAGCTTTTCTCACGTCAAAACCTGAACGACTAGAAACAAACAAGACCGAAGCGAATCACTGCTCATCTGGGGGAAGATAACTCTGTGATAGATCGTCAAAGGACGACTCAACGGCAACCTGTTGGACATCTAGGGGGAACTGAGACTGATGGTGTTCTTGGAAGGATATGCCAGGTCCAGACACTTGTTCAGGGAACGTGATTTCCTTCCCGAGAGAAGAGTCCTGTGCTCCGGACGTGGCCTGACTTAATCCAGTTGTGCCAGAGTGGGTGGTCTGACTTCCCGCGCCGAAGGAAGCGTGGGAGTCACCGTCTGATCCCTGAGAGCCGAGTTGCAAACCACTGAAGAGGTCCTGAGCGCCATCGACTGATTCCTGATATTCGCCCGATGACCCCTGGGTTTCTGAGGACGAGTCGACAGAAGCTTCATCGACTGCTCCCTGACTGCCGGCCTGGAATCCAAAAGATCCCTGAATTCCAACTGAAGAGCCCTGGATTCCAGTGGCTGATCCTTGCGTGCCAGATTGGGTATTAAGTGAAGATCCTTGAGTTGCAGTAGCAGTTGCTCCAGATGAATAGCCTTGGGTTCCAACCTGGGACACCCCAGAAAATCCTTGGGCTCCAACCTGGGCTACTCCAGAAGATCCCTGGGCTCCAAACTGGGACTCCCCAGAAAATCCTTGGGCTCCAACATCCGACCCTTCTGCGTTTGACTGGAAACCAGTGGCAGACGCCTGTGCTCCGGCGGATGACCCCTGAGCCCCAGCAGTTGTCCCTTCAACGCCAATTTGGGTGTTGAATGAGGATCCCTCAGTTGCAGCACTTGTCTCCTCGGTGCCAGACTGGAAATTAATCGAAGATCCAGCTGAATATCCGTGACTTCCATCTTGGGATTCGCCAGAAAATCCCTGGGTTCCTACTTGGGTTTCACCGGAAAACCCTTGGGTTCCGACCTGGGATACGCCAGAAAATCCTTGGGTTCCAACCTGGGCTTCACCAGAAAATCCTTGGGATCCGACCTGGGATACGCCAGAAAATCCTTGGGTTCCAACCTGGGTTTCTCCAGAAAATCCTTGGGTTCCAACCTGGGTTTCACCAGAAAATCCTTGGGTTCCAACCTGGGTTTCACCAGAAA